TCACGAGTAATATTATTATTACAGGTAAGAACTTTGTTATTTTATTTGATCAAAGCATGTCTTTCACAGACTCTTTATGCTTCTTCTATTTATACAATTTTCAGGTTATTATACTAATTATTGGATACTATACCAATTACTATGCTAATTTTAATGTTAGTATTTTCTTTGATTGTGATTTGTTTCTCTGCTATAGATAATTGCCTTCTTCCAGATAATCAACACTGATCTGTTAAAGTATTGACGAATGATAGTGAAGATAAAAGAAAATGGAAAATTATTCATAATGAATTATTTCCTATTCTGGTTGATAATACGATCAGCATGGTATACATGTACTTAGGATCTTCATGGGGATTGCCAAAGTGTTTACAGTAAGATTTTTATGTAAAAATTAGTTGAGCATTGTTGCAGAATTAAGGGATTGATTATTACTATGGTAATAGTATATGTAGTTTGAGATTATGAACATGTACAGTGATCAATATAAATATCTGGAATTTATTATGACAGGTAAGACATTTTATTTTTATTATTAAGATGTGCGAAAATTTTGTACACACATTCTCAAATATGACTACTAACTATTTATAAAAATTTAATAGTCAATTTTTTTCTCTCCTATTCAATCACTGCAAAATATGATCCTTCAAACTCTTTGCTAATTAAAGAGATCTTTACTCAAATCCATCCATTCTATTTGTATTATTATTTGAAATTTCATTGTTGAAAGTTTTTTTTGATTAATTATAAATTTATCTCTTTTTCTATCTTTTTCTTAAGTATAGCCCACAAATTATAAATGGAATTGATATTCGGTGAGTAAGAAGATCAATCAAGAATTTAAATATCACAGTAATAAAAAAGATTGATTATTTTACCTGTATTGTAAATTGGAGAGTTGTCCTATTGAAAACGCAACCTACAATCTGCTATAGAAATATGGAAAAAAAAGATGCATTTCAAGAATTTCTTAATATTTTTTAGCATTGAAGTTTTCAGTGAATAAGACAAGTGCAATTGGTTCTTGTGCACTAAAAGCACCCCAAGTATGGATTTTATAGGGATGCTTTACCATACTTTTATGTGGTTATAATGTTCCATAACAGTATCTTATTAACTAGTATTTTTAAACATTTGGAGAGTTATTTCATTAGAGAAAATTGTGTGAGACCAATTTTGATGGATATTTTTCTGTGTTCATTCAAGATGAGCTGCAATGTGATGGGACTGTAAAAGAGAAATCTGCAGTGAATGACAAATATTAAATCAAAGATTTTTTTAAGGTACGTTGAATTGTATGAATGAAAACTTTCAAGTTAGAATCTTTTTGTTTAAGTTTTTCAGTCATTTCAGCTGTAGTGGTAACATTATTGATCTGCAATAATCGATCAAAGATGTGACATTGTTCAACTGCGAGAATTGGGGGTCTTCCAGATCTGGGAAGTGATATAATACTTGATAATTTTTTAATCTGATTAATTATATTATACACTGTAGACTTAGGAAAATCTGTTATTTGCACAATTTCTGCAGGTTTCTGAATATTATTCAAAGCTGACTTACCACCATACTTTGTGCTTCGTGCTTGGAAATGGATGGCATTTTTTATATTTTTTTGCTAATGGGTGCAAAAACTGACAGCAAAAATGTTTACATTGTTGTGTTATTACATGTATTAAACAAAACAATACCAATTTTAGTTTAAAATTGGTAACGTTATGCGACGTTTTGTGCACCAGATCGATATTCCGAATATTTATGTCGACCACTATACGTATCATGAAATTCATCTCTACAAAAAAATTTATTATTTTTTGTTTAAACAACCTGTCCATTTTTTTATTATCATTTTGTATATATAAAATATCTGTTTCTTCACTATTGATGTCAAAATCAATCGCTAATATATATACTACGTAGTAAATAATCTTCACTGACAATGCAGCCTCGCATTTAAAAAATATGTTCTTTATTTATCATCATTTTTCTAACTTCTTATCTCTCTAATTCACTTTAAATTTCCAAATTACATTCTTTTTCAAGTCTTAACTCCTCTTAAGCGTTTCATTTTCACCTGTCAGGCTCGGCACTTTTTCTTTCTTCGATTCATTTTCTAAATAGAAAAATTTCCGCAAGAATTTATATTAAGCAACAACAACAACGAAAAAATAAGATGTATACCATCGACTATCTCGGTCATCCTCATACCTGGACAGAGGCTGACGTAGTATACACTTGAGCTGAAGTCAAATAAGAACTAGCAGCATTCAGATTAAAGTGTCGATGGGAACATGAGAAACCCTTAAAGAAACTGCAACATGATGAAAGGTTAAAAAGAAACGTTTATTACGACAAAAAAACGCTCTCTAGCGGTTGTAAAAAGTGGAATATTGGTTGCTCTGCAATCTTTGAACTGTGATTTGATTCGTATGATCAATCAGTATTGATTGATGACATCACTAGAAATGAAGTTCTTCAATTCCTTTAATCCTCCTTCAATTGCAACACACAATATTACACGTTCTTTGTTCGAATTCACAGCAACCACAAATAGAATCACAAGTACAACTACATCGACACTCTCTTTAATCGAATTGCTCAAACGTAGTTTTATTAATTATTATTTAGACGATGACGTTGTCAATTCATCGTTGAAATTCTGCAATTTTAGCACACATTTCCTTATTACCGCGTTTTTCGTTTATCTTTATCATGGTTTCTTTTCGCCCTACTCATTTTTTTTTTATTAATTTCGCGAGAAAATCATCCTTGCAGTACTTTTACACAAATTCTCGAATCATTCCTTCGGCTGTGTGTCCAAAAAACGCGGCATTATAAACTTTTTGGTTCTTGCCATTTTGATAGACAATAAAACAGTGAACAACCTAGCAATAATTTTGTACCCGCATTAATAATACATGTACATATCGGGCGCGGAATTTTAAACTTCCTCCTTAATTAGCTACTTAATTTTTTATTAAACGATTATAGCGGGTTTTGGTCTTACGCTACGTCGTTTCTTTGGATACTTCTAAACCATAGAAAAACAGGGTTGTACATACGATTTTTTAGTTTACGCTAATCCTTTTTTTATTCGACAAATTTAGCCCTACAATGAACTAATAAAAAAACTGAGCAGTAACACCACCACTAGGAAATTCGATATATTTAATATCAGTTGAATTATTAAATTGAAAAATACACGTACACATAATGTTTGTTTTATTGGAACATTATAGGACATTAATTGGATCTTCGCCAAGTGAACTTCACGCACACATACCTATAAAAAAATCATCAATGCTTATTAGAATATATGTTTTATAATTCTTCAAGCGTTAATTGTTTCTTATTCTGATTTCGTAAATTCAATTCTTCATTTCTCATCACAGTATTTTTCACAATACTTGGGTAATAGGCATAGTAAAATGCGTCGTAAGCAACAACAATTATAGATTATTAAGGCATTTGATTAAATCAATCTTAAGAATATGAATTTAATTTATTAACCAATCCAAAAGAATATTTGTAATATTTGTAAGGTAATATAAGAAAAACTTGATGAAAATGATTGAAATTCTAAATTCCATCTAACAAGATTTAAAAATTATATGGTGCGAGAAATCTTAATTCTACAATAAAAATGATGTAGCGCCAACTAATCTATCAAGTTGGTATTTTTATATATTACGTAGTACTGGTATATAAAATGTTTATATATATACGTATAATAGTTAGTTTCGATTTTAGCAAATCCAAACCAAAACAGATCTTGGATAAAGAGGATCAACCAATCATGTGTCTCAGAAATTGAAATTTTTTATAACTAACGCTAAGTAAAATACTTCTACACACTGGACTGGTAAAAATTCATTTCATATTAAATTTTAAAAACATGGAAAAAACTACTATTTTTCTAAATATTGAAACACAATCACATGATTGTATAGTTAAGATTTCCGATACCATAATAATCGAATCAATGATTCATACACAGTGAAAGAACTATAACGGGGGCTATTTTTCGGAACCAGTATTATATAAATTTTGCCTGTTATAGCGGATCCGTCGATTTATCGGACAGCATGGCAGGAACGGTGGGATCCGTTATATCGACTTTCACTGTGTATAAGAATTGTGTGCAACCAAAGTTCTCTGAAGGAAAAAAATATCTGTATGTATGGATATAGAAAATCAATTAAGATTCTGAAAAAGAAAAGAAAGTAGCACATGTATTAAATAATATGTGACTTAGAAAATATATTAGGTTGAATATATAGAGAAAATAATATAAAAGGTAATAATATTGTAAAGACTATTCTAGGAAAATGAACAGGTACGAAATAAATATACGAAAGAGTATCGAATATGAGATATTGCAGAACAAAACAGAAAATACAAAATAAATATATACGAATGAGTATCAAATATAAAATATCGCAGAACAAATAGAACATGATAATAAGAAGACGGTTCTGAGAATATGCAACAAGTACGTATTGAATACGTATCGATATGAAATCTACGTAATATGGTGTGTAAAATTTATTGTTATGCGTGTACAGTACCCCCAAAAAATAACGCCCGTCCAATAATAAAACATATAAAAAATGTAAAAAACATAAAAAATGTAAATGTTCAAGTTATGTATATATCTGAATTTTTTATAATAAATATTTTTGAATTTTATATCATTTTAAAGCTAATTGATTGTATTTTTGAAAAAATAATACAAAACTTGTGGCAACTTAAAATGCAAGGACTGTTTTATTGGAAAGTAACAAAAAAATATTTCCCACGCTTTATGTATGAAAATTGAAATTTCAAGTTATATTTATGAAGGGTGAGTCAATAGAAACCAAGCAAATTATAAAACCTTAATTTTGCGATATCAGTATTTTAGCTTCCGCATTTTAATATGTAAAAAATACAATACATGTATCTCGAAATTTTATTATATAAATTGGAATTCATGATTAATTAAAAAATGATCAGTATGGTGCATAAAATCTAAAGTCATCAAACGTTTGTATTTATAAAATTTATAAATTTCTTTACTAAGAAGTAAATATAAAATTTAATCAATGAATATGATCGAATAGGCCTTTTCTGAGCATATTCACGGATTAAATTTTGTATTTACTTCTTAGTAAAGAAGTTATCCATTTTATAAAATACAAACGTTTGATGACTTTAGATTTTACGCACATATTTTTATTTCTATTCTTTAATGTAAAAACTCATTTTTGAAGAAAAATAATTTGCTTGATTTCTATTGACTCACCCACCCCCCCATATATCTATATTCTATTACTAAATTTTATATCATTTTAAAGCTAATCAATTGTATGTTTGAAAAATGAACAAAACTATGGAACTTTTAAAACGAAAGAACTGTTTTAATTATAAAATTAACAAAAAATTTTTTATATGTATTTTATATAACTTTAAATCGGGCGATACTTTTTGGGGTACTGTACATATATTGATTTCTATATATAACTTTTTAGGAAATCCAATCTAATAATAGATTAACGTTAAGCTTTTCTTGTTATTGATGGATTATTGATGGACTAGAGAGTATTAATTCATTATGATTGATAAGATTCTAAAAGTACAATCGAAACATTATTGTCATTTTGATTTGATGTGGTAGTAAACGGGTCATTAAAAATATGATTGCTTCCATTTACAATATTCAATGGTGGCTGATTTTGCAAATTCTGTTGATTCGCTTGTTGTTGGTTTTGATTCATGGTTTTGAAATGAATAGAAATAGGCGAAAGTTTCAATTTGAATAAACGAGTAATAAGTGATGTTTGAAGTTATATTTTCTTCAGACAATACGTACAGATTTACTTGGGACTTTTGGGCCCTTTTATATGTATTTTGATGAAAATGTACCAACCATAATTAATTGTATACCGAGACAGAAATTTGATGTAGCAAAATTGTGTATTTCTGTATAAGAAAATTTCGAATAAAATACATCTTTAGTATATACGTGCGATACAACATTTTGTATTCTATTTATATAATACAAAAAAAGTAATAAAAAAACTAATACGTATCCGGCATTTTGTGACATTTTATTATACATGTATAACCATTGTTTGAATCATTCTTTACTGTACTGTATGTACGTAAATGCATCTCATTCATTATACAAATCACTTTTTGAATGATTCAAAGTTCGGTTTGTACTCTAAATGCATCTATCAGAGCAAATCAAATTTCGTTTCCTTCATAAATGAAAAAATGGTTATATTACGAATTTCACTTAAATGCTTTTTTGGATTGCTCCCTTTTTCGAATATACATACAATTTTTTATTACTCCTCAGCAAAAACTCATTTACATTTTCTTTTCCGAAATGTTTCGTCGCATCAACCAATAGCGATAAGCACTCTACCTCGATAAAAAAAATATACTATAGATAAAGTAGGTTTTTCTCAGCCAATAATATAGTTAATATTAATAATATTCTATTGTCTCCAACTCTTTAATATCCAATCAATTACAGAGTACGTAGCATTATGATTTATTTGTTTACACAAACATCCTAAAATATATAACAAGAGCATTGTTCTTAATAAGAAATAATAATTCATTCATTCATCTGATTCGCTCATGTTTGATTTTTCGAGTACATATACGTATAATAAATTTATTAGTCAATAAATGTAGCAAAATCTTTCATTCTGTCAAAAACATTGATACGCAGTAAAGATCTCATGATCAAATAATAATTTTATGCCAAGCCGAGTACGTAACGGTAAAGGGAGACCATGACAATAAAATTGCATTAGGACAAGTGCGATACGTAGATCATATCGATATTTGTGTTAAATTTCCTAATTATGACGTTATCGTTATACGTATAATGCAATTTTTATAGGGTTGCTGCATTGAACAGCATCCATATAAATCATGTAAATTCGGGGAGTCAAATAAACTTCGGTTTAGTGCATTTTCGGCTTAGGACAATTTTATCTTAACGAGTTTGCCTTGTATTTAAATTCCATTCTTTTTGATAATCACTCTTATTGATTACTTTCTATCAATATAATTTTTAATATACAAACCTGATATAACGAACCTAATATCAATTAATCAAAATTGGTTCTGCCAACAGTTAAAGTAAATTCTCGATAAACAAATTTTTAACTATCGTCAGCGCTTTACATGTACGTATGTGCGCGCTGACATACGCCCGTATTGTCTGTATTAAAGCTAAGAATAAAACACCATAAAAATTAGTGGAAATTAATACAAAAGAAAATATAAATGCAAGAATTTATATAAAAAATATGTGTTGAGAGAATTATTATTGGTTTGATTTAATGTATTTAAATTATCATTATATTCAAGCTTTCTGGTGGCGGTGGTTGCTAGAGATAACTGCTGTTGCCGCTGAGTTTGTTGATTCTGTAATTATTGTTATTGTTGTTGCGTATGGGCTAAAGTCTTCTTTGTAAAGATTATTTGACTCACGTTTATTTATAAAGTAATTTTGAACTATTATATTATTAAAAAATAAGTATCAGTTTAATAGAACGAATAGAAAAGTAATACTAAAGGTAACTTATAACTTGAAGGCATACGTATGAGTCTTCTCAGACTAGTTATCTATACTCTAACTGATAGTTAAATAGTCCAATATCAAAATGCTATAAACAATTAAGTAATGCAAATAAATATTATATTAGAAATAATTTCAAATATTATTAGATTTTTAATGAAAATCAATCATTATTGATTTTAAAAATATAAAGATAAAAATTGAATAAATATAGGGTAGATACGGGTATTTTGACGAACTCCAACAAAATATACTCAAAATATGAATTTATATATATTCCAAATTAGCATATTTGAATATATATAATTTTACATTTTGAGTATATGTTGGTGCAGTTTGTCATAATACTCGAATCTACCTTATATAATAGATTCCAGAATATATTTTGATATTCAAAGTATTAAAGAAATCCCAAATTTATCTAAACATCAATGACAAGAATGCTTACTATTTATTAGCTGAGTTTGATGTTAAACAATATTAAGCAACTTTATAATTAAATATTATAAATATTATTATAAGTAAAGTATATAAAGTGTATAAAATTGTAATAATTACATATTATAAATATTATTATAAGTAAAGTATATAAAGTGCATAAAATTGTAATAATAAAATTAATAATGGTAAAATTAGTAATAAATTCTTTTTAGCATTATTATTTCAATAAATAAATGGTTTCGAATATTAAAAATAGATATAATTATACTAAAAATTTCTGTTTTTCAAAAAAAATTTTGAATCTAATATATTTGCTTTTAATATTTTTGGTTAACAATTGGTTTTATTTTATTGTAATATAAATAAAATAAGAAAGAATTAGTACTTGAAAATTTTAATATATAATAGCTTACAAAAGTAATGCTCCACTTTCGAAATTTGCTATTAAAACATAATAAATTTTATTTTTATATCAGAATAAGATCATAATTTATATTTTAATATATATTTTTATAAATAAAATTTAAATCTTTTTTGATGAAATAAAATTATTTGTATATTTCAATAAATAAAAGTTTCCAATTAAAGAGAGGCGCTAAAGCGTTATGAACACGTGTTTCTCACAGTTAAAGGCTATTTTTAGCGTTAGGGTTAGAGCTGAGGCTAAAATATATGTAAAATTGCCTCTCCGACGTTAAATTTTCCATATTTTTCATTGTTTACGCTCGTGCTTCGGATTTTTTCCTGATTGATAAAAAATTTATTGGTTTGTTTCTCGGACAGATAACCGGACGTGCAACGCCTTAGCACATCTCCGATTAAACTAACAAAAAACTCAACATATTAGTTTTATTGTTGTTAAGAGTTAATACAATTACATATAACGGTTTGTGTGTATAGCCAACACACCTTTCACAATGAAAAAGACGAACACCTTTAATATATGCTTGTCTCATTCATGCCGCGTAAAGATGACAACAAAAACTAAAATCGGAAGAATACCCATAAAATATAAGGAGTTTGTACACATATTCTTTGAGAAACAGTTATGATCGCTATTATGTTACCATCAATAATTGTCTTGTCGCATTGACTCACTTGATACTTTCAACGCTCTTCTTCCTCTTGACTTCTCCTATATTGTGTTATGTTCACAATTTAATGCAGCATTTACAAAGCATTCTAAAATATATAACAAGACACTATTGTTTATACAGGTATTAAATACGGTCTCAAGAATAAATATTAGTGATAAAGTAACAGAGACTAAGAATAAGCAATGTTTGTATGCAATCAATAATTTCATTTTCTTCGTCCATATTTTGATAACCTTTCGCACCTTCAATAGAAATACGCGAGATCTATATATGAATTCGGAATTGGTCCAAATTAAAGGTAGAGTTAGGGCAAGAGTAGGTGTTAGTGCTGTGAGATAAAATTAATACATGTATTAGCTGAAGGACTCTAAATACGTATATACGTATTTACATGCGTGATAAGAAAAACCGCGTTTTTTATTCAAAATTGCTGTATAAGTATAATATATCAAAAGAAAGCTGAAAATTAGGAGTTTTTGTTGATATGATAATTGAGCTAAAACATAAAAAATTAGTTTTTTCAACTTGGATTAAAAAAATACCCAGTTTTTTTCGAAATTTTTTTGCAGAAAATATTCATAATATAGTTATATGAATAAAATTTTTGCAGGTTTGATTATTGCGTAAACTTATTTGACAAAGAAAATATTTTAACAGATTAGGGAAGTGCCATCTATCAGACATCCTACCCAACCCCCATCTGATCGAGATGAGTCATAATATATCATAATCTTGTAGAATCTGAATACAAATAATATCGATATTGACAAAATAGTAGAATTTAAATGAGATCATAGGATTTATTTTTATTAGAGGCTCAGAAAAGTTATGATATTATTTATTAAAACTTTATTATATAAAAGTATCAAAAATGTTAATAAAGAATAACATTTCCAAGTATTAAATTAAATAATAGCAATCAATAATTAGAGTTCTTTCTATTATAAAAAATCCATAATATAATTGACGAAACATAAGACATAGTCATGACTAACAAAATTTAATTAATAAACAATTAAGGCTTGAAAAATGTCTCTCTTTATAGCAAAATGTCCGTCCAATTAGAGAAAAATTTTTAAAGTTTGATTATATCAAGAGTTTATTAGTAAGTTTATTATAGATAAAGGATTTTATCATAGATTGTTTTGAACTCAAATTTATTATAGCAGGAATTTAATTAGTCTTAAACATTACACCAGATGACAAATAAAATTCAATTCTTACAAAAATATGTTGTTAATTTTATATACAACTTATTGGGATGAAAAAATAAATCGAGCTCTTATACTTATATATAGTTTTTTTGCAGAGAGGTGTGACAACGGCGGTGGTAGTGGTTGTCGTTGCCGCAATTGGGATGGGTTCGTTATTACCAAATCTCTTACCAACTTTATCACTTAAATTGTTAAATTAACTACGGAAAATAATCTTAAGGATGTTATCGGTTAGCACTGTATATAATATTCGGAGTCTTATTCAAAATTATATTATTTAAACTGAATAATACCCGTGGCACCATGTATAAACTGGGTATTATATTGAAGTGTATTGTGTGTAGAAAATTCTACATGCATTTTAAATTCAGTCAATTAAATAAACAATAATGATATATTATAATATTATTAAAATGTAAAAAATAAATGCCACAAAAAACTTTGGTGTATGGCAAAGCAAGACATACACAAATAGTGGAAAAGTGCTGACCATCCGATATCCCCATAAAATTATAATGTATATATTAATATAATTTCGGTTAAGATCAGGTTTAGTTATTGTATAGTAAACCTTGCAAGGAACATTTTTTATTAAATCACAAAAGATAATTTCATAGGCAAAGTTTTAAGATACAAGCTATTTTTAAAAATATGTTTATTTTTGAATTTTTGCGTTGCACATTGATCTTGCGATTTGATTGGTGCATAATTTTAAGAGTGATATCGGATGTTCGGCATCGGAATCAGAGATCACGAGATCTGTAAATTTTTTTGCCACAAATAATTAATGATTATATTATATCAAGAAAATGGACATAGTATATGGACAACAGCAAACAAATATGAAATTGACCAAATCCATGAATATATTTAAAAACTTAATATTGGTGCAGGTTCTAAATATCCACAGCTTGAATATAAGCTTTTAGAATGACTTTGTTAATTATATTAATAATTAGAAACTGTAATCGGATATATAATTAATACTAAAGCTCATGATTTACCAAAAAGACAAGAATATAATATCTTATATCCAAGTATTTATAAATATTAATTTTTATAAAATGAATTAATAAATTTATGTCTCATTATCTTTGATAAATCATTAATATACAACAATTACAATAACTATATATCTGAAGAATATTTTGAAAAATAACAAAATTTTTTATTCTTTATTGATGAACTGAATATAATTATTCTTTAAATTTAATTGTAAATATAAATAAAACTTATATATTATTAAATTTATCAAATTAAATTATTGAAAAGCGTGAAATATTAATAATTTTAATTCTTATCTCTTAAACTATTAGATTTAGCAAGCAAATTTGTCTGCTAAAATCCCATAAATTTATATTTAATATATTTTTACCAAAAATTAAAATAGGTTAAAAAAAGTTTGTTTAATCTTAGTTTTAATTATATATTATATAATAGTTATTTAATAATTATAAAAAATTATAGTTATCTATAAGTTAATCTTAAATTTTAAATAAATTTTATAATAAATTACAGAATTAATTAAAATAAATCAAATATTTTGAGCAATTGTAAATCAAAATTACAAATTTTATATTATATTGATTAAAATATACTATATTTTATAAAAATTAGAAGTAAATATGTAAAATAAGCTAAAAAAAATTTTAGTGAGCAAATTTGTCTACTGGATAGTTAAGGAATAATAATTCATAAATATACTATAACTTATACTTGTTGTACAAATGATAATAAACTTTTATTTATTATTAGTTTTAAATTGGTTTATACATTATGAAAACAATTTTCTGATAGTATATATAATAATTATTAAATATTTTATATTATAAAAATTAAAAATTTAATAATATTACAAACAAATATTTAAATTATAATATATATTATTTATTAAATTTTGCAAATTATATAAATATAATTTTTTACTTAGTAAATAATTAATAAATTAAAATAATATTGATTAATGCATTTTTATATAATACATTTTTATATAATACATTTTTATATGATGTATTTTTTGAATTAAAAATTTATAAAATTTAAATAAAATATTCTTTATCACTTTGTAAATTCTTTTTTAATTTTTATTATATTATTTATTCATTTAGATATATTTTTAATTAAACTAAAAAATTATAATCTGTTTTTATTCATATTTTTTGAATAACTTTCTATAACTTATCTTGAATATAAATTAAATTTTCTAATATTATCATATTTATCTTAGTTTAGAGATATTTAATAGAATTAAAATTGAAAAATTGTAATAATTCTTCTAATATATTAATATATTAATATTATTATAAAATTTTTGTTTTATTAAATTATTCATATATTTTGGATCATTATTATATTAAAAAATATCAATATATATATTATTATTAATATTAAAAGAAGAAAAGTAATTTCAAATTATAATACTTTTATTATTAAATTTGACTATAGATTTTATATACAATCTTGACTAAAAGTATTTGACCCCCTAACTTTCTGTAAATCATGTGTAATACACCAAATTTTTCCAAGCATAAAGAACATCACAAATGCTGATTATTAATACTTTTTTATAGGTTGGTAGAGCTTTTATATTGAATATTGTATGTTTATATACTTCATGCCCAAATACAATAAATTGGTCACTTTATGACATAATATCTCAATATCTAGTTATTAAATTTGAGTGAAAATATCACTATTCGATTTGTCTAACTTAGGCAAATCAAATGGTGATATTTTCACTCAAATTTAATCACTAGGTGTTGAGATATTATGTCATAAAGTGACCGATTCATATTTAGCGATCAATTTTTCATTAGAAATGATCACCAAAAAATGAATCGGTCAATTTAGGATGTGCGTAATATTTTGATCTCCAGTGATCCGATCGCATTGACTAGAAAAATCGAATAATATTATTTTTGTTCGAATCAGATCATAGGTGGCCAAGATATCATTGGCTATTGATTAATTTTTGTTAATGTCAAAAATGAAGCTTCGATGTAATATTTCGACATCCTGTGATCCGATTTGAACAAAAATACTACTATTCGATTCGTTTAGTCAAATAGTAGTATTTTTGTTCAAATCGGATCACTGAATGTCAAGAATTAGATTATTGAATATTGAAATGTGTGTTATGAAATTACTGATTATATTTGTCACGTGAAAGTTTATGAGCATACAATATCTGATATAGAAGCTCTACCAATCTATAAAAAGTATCAATGATCAGCATTTGTAATGTTCTTTGTGTTCAAAAAAAATTTGGTGCATTACACATGATCTATGAAAAGTTAAGGGGGGTCGGATACTTTTGGCCATGACTGTAATAGTTGTTTAATGATTTATTTTTATATTTTCAATAATATTTATAACTATCTAATTTATATATTATAAACTTAAATTTATCTAATTAAATTCTCTTATTTTAATTATTTATTATCCAATTCTTGTATTTCTTAAATGTAATTTCTGATATGTTTTTTAATAGTACTATTACTTATATTGATTTGTAATTTTTCTGAATTAATATATTTATTACTTAAAAAATATTATATTTATTAAGTTCTATAAAAAATCATGAACAACCAAATTTTGATAAATTTTTTATAGAACTAATTGCTTTTATTTTTTTTAAGTTGATAACAAAAAATTATTCAATATTTTCTTTTAATATAATATAATAAAAAGAGAATCCTTCTTGAAAAAGAGCAAAAATTTGTAATTTTTGTTCAATAATAATATGATTCATATTAATTTAACAATATATTTATTAAAATAAAATAAAAAACTTTACTAATAGGTATAACTAAAGCTCTGTTCGGGTCAGGTCGGATCTGATTTGAGATCAACTCGATAATTTCGGGTCGGACCGGGTTTGATCCGAAAATTTTAAATTAGTTTTTCGTTAATAACTTTTACTTTTACTAAGACACTTGTATTTTGTGTCTAAGTAGAGTTGTTCGGAATGTAATTGTGTATATGCCCACATATTTTCGTTTAATCCCAATTAATATTGAACGAAAAATAACGATTTTTAGGCTAGTCCGAATTATTTCGGGTCGAGTTTGACCCAAATCCGACCCGACCCGAAATGTGCGTTCTGGGTCGGGTCACGGATTGGACCCGACCCGGTTGGAGCACTAGGTATAACTTTTATATATTATTTGGTATTTTGTTATAATATTATATAGATTTACTTTTGGAAATAAATAAACAAATAATTTACAAATGTAATATAATTTTTTTAATTATATGTTCATTCAAAAATAGTAATTAAAAGAATTTTAAGGAATTTCTAGTTTTTCTTTTTGTATATATTTATTGACATATATTAATAAAGTATAAATTATGTGATATTATTTTTATTTACATAATCCAAATATATAATAATCACTGTATATTTGTACAAATCCTAGTGAATAAATGGATGAAAAATAATAATTTAGTGAATAGCAGGTATCTGAAATTAATGAGCTAATCCAAGTTTAAATTCACATTCACTTCTTGACTCATTTGCTAATTATAAAAAATCCTGTTAAGTACCATTTTTATGAGAAAAATATTAATATAGCAGTTATTCTTAGTAAATTAGCTTTATATTTATAACCATTGTATTTATTCTTAAATAATATATTTAAAGCCAAAGTAAATTTGAAATAGGTTTTTTGTCTTTTTATGATTTTAATGCTTTGTTAAAAGATTCATCATATCTATTAATTATTGAATGGATATACTAAAGCTCTGTTTGGGTCGGGTCGGGTTTGACCTCAATCCGACCGACCCGAAATGTGCGTTCCGGGTCGGGTCACGGATTGGACCCGACCTGGTCGGAGCACTAGAATATACACTAATAGATAGAATTAAATGACCAGCATATTTACTTATAGAAAATTGGATAAAAGTCTGTGAGACAATTTTGTTGTGGAATTTCAATGAATATAGATGATTCAGAGGATAATTTAATCTTTGAATTCGAAGAGTACAAAAAGAAAAGAATGTTGAAATTGGTATTGAAGAAGAGGGAGAAAATCTTAAAAGTGATAATGAAATTGATTTGGAAAACAAATATTATGAGCATGAGAAGAAGGGAAATTATATTAATACTTGGAAATAAATACATAATAATATCATTATTATGATCATTATCTACTGCCATCATTGTTAAATTTAATATATACTATCATAATGTTAATTGTTGACATTTAATTAGTGCTCCAACCGGGTCGGGTCCAATCCCGGAACGCACATTTCGGGTCGGGTCAGCCTAAAAAACGTTATTTCTCGTTCAATATTAATTGGAATTAAACGAAAGTTTGTGGGTATATACAATTACATTCCGAACAACTCTATTTAGACACCAAATACAAGTGTCTTAGTAAAATAAAAGTTATTAACTAAAAACTATTTACGATTTTCGGTTCAAACCCGATCCGACCCGAACAGAGCTTTACATTTAATATATATTAATAAATATTGACTTGAAAAAGACACGGATTTCGGATATTATTCAAGTTTAAATTAACATAAACAGTGAGAATTACCCAGGTCTAAGTTATGGAGAGTATTATTTTTGTGGGATACTATATACAGTGCTAAACGGTATTATTGCTGAAAAAGAACATCAAATAAATATAAGCAAAAAATTATTGACGAGGATAATTATTCTTCTGACAAATTGAATATGCACGTAAATATGGAATTTCAGATAATAGAAATTAAGTATCAAAACTTCCAAGAAAAAAAAATGCGAAGAGAAAATTGAATTCACAATTAAGTGCGTTATCTATACGTAGTTACTTTGAATAAGTAAAATTATATACCGATATGCACAAATTGGTAACGACATGATGATAAACAAACAAACAAATACTTACTACATGTACAAAGTAATTAGTAAAATAAAGCTCTAGTTCGGTAAAACAAAAGATGCGCCATTATTTTAGGAGTTCTCCCTCCCTCTTTACGGAGAAAGATTCCGAGCTGAAAATAAATTGAATTTTTTATTATTGTTATCGTTTATTGTATATATTTACCACAAATACCAATATAATATTAAAGTAAACACAAAGTAAAGACTCGGTATTTTTATTAGTTAGGAATATAGCTTTTGCTTGGGATCTTGAAACAAAAGAATTAAGTCGAACAACTGGATGATCTGTGACCATACAAATAAACATTACTTAGACAAAGTAATTAGTAAAAGATACAATGTCCATTATGGGTGTTCGATAAAATTTATTGGAGCGTCTTGAATAATTTAAATAAATTGTCGGGCTAAATCATAAACACAAAACTAGTTTTCTCATATAAACATATATGTTTATTAGTTATATATACAATCAAACTATTTACATTAGTTCAGAATCGAGTTTTGTCTGTCTGCCTGTCTGTCGCGTCAAAAATTTTTGATAGCATACACATAATAGCGATAGTAATAATAATTATGATGCCAAGTGGGCGCCGTGGAGTTAAAATTTCGGCTTGAAAACATGTAAATCTTATGCACAGTGGACACTCAAATTGTACATGTATTATCGTTATCGTTATGTAAATTAATCTATTGTGCTATAATAAATATTAACAATTATACTAAAATTTTATTTGTTAACAACTTTTGCTGTTATACGCAAAGTCGTAAAACAGATTTATGGTTTTCAAGTGGTGGTATTTTTATCTTAATACATCTTCTGGATGGGCAAAAACATAAATTGGATTTTTTTCAGTCATCTTAACTTTGTGTTTGCTATTCAAAGTAAAATTGTAATATCGATAATATTGATATAGATTCTTAACTTAAAAACGATGGTATTTTACGTAATCCTAGATAGCAAAGATATCGATATGAATAAAAACATAATCGAAGTAAAAAATTTAATTTCCATTTTGCTCATTCAAATCTGCGCATCTTGATATATGATAACGATAATAAAAAAAAGCCATTTTTACAAATCCTAAACCGACTGTTAGATGTCACCTCTAACATATGTGCCTCAGTATTTTTATGCACATATTCCTTTTTACTTTAACCTCCATGTAATGTCGTAACGAGCAGCATCTTCTTAATCGCAGTTTTATGAAAACAATAATTTCAATCAATAGGTATGACAATAGATTATTAAAGCACTCGATTAAATAATAGGAATTTAATTTATTGACCATATCATAGCAATCAAAAAAATATTTTCGAGTACGTAAAAGCTTACTCGGATGGTCGTTTTCTTATACGTATTTGTACATAAAATAATATAAGAAAATTCATTGAAATTCTAAATTACATTTGCCGAGTTTTTAATCAATAATTCATGCATTCGGAATAAGCTATAAACAATTGAATCCGTGCGCAACCAAATTTTTCCTGAAGGAAAGAAATAAAAAAATACTAAGTAATATATATGTATGCATGAATAAAGAAAAATAAATTTTATTTATAAGAAATTCTAATAAATCAAAGCATCATAAATATTAAGATTCTGACATTTACGTAAAGAAAGCAACACAAGCTAGTATTAAATAATATGTGACTAATAAAACTATATTAAGTTGAATAACGAGAAAATAATATAAAAATTTAATAATACTGTTGTGTAAAATATAAGATGATTCTAGGAAAATAAACAAGTACGAACGAGTATCGAATATGAAATATTGCAGAACAAAACAAAAAATACAAAGGAGTATCAAACATGAAATATCGCAGAACAAAATAGAATATGATGATGATGATGATGATGATGATGATGATGATGATGATGATGATGATGATGATGATGATGATGATGATAATAATAATAATAATAATAATAATAATAATAATAATAATAATAATAGAGGGATGACGACTGAGAAAATATAAGATGATGATTGAGAAATAAATGCGAAATAAATATCGATATTTTTATAACGAACTGTTAATTTAAAGTTCATTATCGTTATATCCCAAATTCGTTATATACTGAGTTGACTGTATTGAATATGAAATATACGTTGTTGGTATAGATTGTATAGCTTCTTAGTGAGGTAGTGAGTAAATACAAAATTTAATACTAGATTAACGTTAAGCTTTTCTTGTTATTGATGGGCTAGAGAGAATTAACCCATTATAATTGATAGGATTCTAAAAGTACAATTGGAACATTATCGTCATTTCGATTTGATGTGGTAGTAAACGGGTTATTGAAAACATTATTGCCTCCATTTGTAATATACGAATGTGCTGGTGGTGGTTGATTTTGCTGTAAATTGTGCTGGTTTGGTAGTAAATTCTGTTGTTGATTTGCTTGTTGGTTTTGTTGTTGGTTTTGATTCATAGTTGATAAGATGATTAGAATTATATTGATAGAAATAGGCAATAGTTTCGATTTGAATAAAAGAGTAATAAGTGACTTTTTAAGTTATATTTTCTTCAGGTAGTATCCATTTTATACTGTATTTATTTTGATGAAAATGCGCCAACTATAATTAAATTTATACTGAACAGAAATTTGATGTGAATATACTAAAGATTGCAACCTATTGCCGTATAAGAACATTCAAATGTGACTCCATCTTTAGTATATACGATACAACCTTTCGCTTTTACGATATCATCTCGAGTGTCACAAATGTATTCCAAAACTTTACAGGTGTCACGAGCCCAAATATTGACAACTTGCATATTAAACTCAACTTTCATTATTATGATTACTATCGCTATCGCTATTGGTTCCTCGTTTTTTGAATAACCCAAAGACTCAGTAAATCTGTGTACTATTTGAAACCGTTTTTGTACCGCTACTACATGTAGTACATGTATTAGAGAATTGAACTGTACGTATTTCACAATGCTTGTGGTACTGTATGTAATAGTAAATGCATCTCTTAGAAAATTTCCACTTAATTACTTGATAATAATGTGTTAAAGTTGTCTAACGAAATTTCTCCTTTCTTGAATATACAAACAAAAGTAACTGGGAAAATTACCGTAAATGACCATATAAAACAACCGGTGCAAAATCTCAGTTATTACACATTAAAAAAACCAGGTCTATTATATAAAATTGAATAATACTTTCGGTTTAATGGGTTGACTATGTACATAGTGACTCTCGTTATAACCTAATAATCGGGGTATTGAGAGAGTCATTTATTATGATGTCGTGTCATCATAACGAGAGCCGCTTTGTAGTGGATTTTTTGACCGTGTATTGAGTGTACGTATATGCAAACCAATGTATTATACACGCATAGTTACATGTGGCGAAACTTTTTAATTCTACGGACATACAAAATATATACGAACATTTACATCAAAGGGGCAGCACATGCAATTTTTTTAATGTAATATACTGTAAATATATTTGTATCCACACAAAGTCTTTAACACCTTTTACTCTTCACCTTACGTATTATGTTACATCAATATGCGATCACTTTACGCAGTCGCATTCTGATTTATTTGTTTACATCCTAACGATATGATAATATAATGTCGCCGCAGATTACACAACGTCAATGAAGTTAAAATCCTTGTGTTAGGTATCCGTAAAGTACTCGCATCATATTGCAGCTATTATTTGGATGAATATTCAAAGTTATCAAAAATAAAAGTTAGCATTACTTTCTCATTATTGGGTCCTTGGATCGGGTTTTTTGTGTATTGTTATCAATAAGTATTGAAATTGGTTTTTATATTTTTCAAAAGAATACATTAATAACTTCAATTTCAGCTACATAATATTTATAAAGTTGTTTCTATTTTACTGATAAGAATAAGAAAGCCGTTGTTAGTGAATTCGAGTTTAAGAATTTTGACTTTTTTATTTAAAACAACTTCTTTTATTGAAACAAAATATTTTGGGGTAGGAATCGATTCTCAACCCAGAGTCGATTTCAAAGTCGATTAATTATTTTTATTACTCGATTAATCGTTTTAAATAAATTTGATTAATCGATTCTCAAGCACAAATTACGACGACGACGACGACGCGATGACATAACTGGTTTTCATTCCCTGTTGATTTTTTTCATTTTCCTTGAAATAGTTGAAGTTGTACTTTAATTAGTTGAAATTATGCTTTTATTAGTATATTCGTATATATTAGGTGGTAAGATACATGTGCTATAGAGGCAATTGAA